ATTTCTATCTGTAGATTTAGAATTATTTTTAGTTTTTCATTTATTTTGTCATTTTGTTCTTGTATTTTCTTCCAAAATCCTTCTAGGGTTTTTTCTGTGTTTTCTTTGGTCTGTTTCTCAATCCTTTGAATATACCTGAATATAATTCTTTTGAATTCCTTATCAATGAGTTCAAATACTGCTTCTTCCTCAGGCATGTGTTCTGGGTCTGTATCCTGCTCTCTTGTTTCTACCAGTTTATCCTGCTTCTTTATGTGGACTGTGATGATCTCTTGTCTCCAAGGCATCATGGCATTGTTGTATTTAGATCTTTGTTAACTGTTTGTGAAGAGCAGCCAAGGGTGATTCAGGCTCTTCTTGGTGATTTTTTATCATTGGCCGTTGGTGGAGAAGGAGGTAGTGGCTCTCGCTCAGTAAGTGAAGTTGCAGGAGGTGTGGGTATAGTTGTGTCTTATGGGGACTGTTGATGTCTCCCACTCAGTTAGACACAAATTACAACTGAATAACCATCAAAAAACTAAAAGCTCATGGACAAAACACACCATGTAATCACACAGGAACAGTAACCAAAAAACGAAAAATGGGAAAAAGAAGAAGAAAATACAAGGAAACCTGCAGTATCTGGGGATAGGGAACAAAAAAAAAAAGTAGAGGAGGAGAATAATGAAGGAAAAAAAATGGGAAAAATGCAAAAAGAAAGATGAGGAATGGGGTTAACCACGAGAAAAAAGGGAAAAAAACCACTTAAGGGAAAAAAAATTTCAACCAAGAACAGGGAAGAGATAAAATGCTGAAAACTGACACCTGGGAGGGGAAGATTAAGAATAATAGTAAAAAGGACAAAAGTATTAATAATAATAGTTGTTGTAAAACAGAGAAATACAAGCAAACTAATCACCAGAACAAAGAAAGCAAAAAAGAAAAAAGAAATTGGTGGAAGACAGGGCAGGGCACCTAGGCTCCATCTGAGCACACAGACTGTGATGGAGTTCCGTTGGGCCCAGAAGGTAGGTGGGCATGGGGGATAGCCACACCTCCGTTCACGAAGTGGGTATGGGGAATAAAAGTAACAAGAGGAATGTGATACCTTTTCACTCTTGCAGGTCTGGAGTGTCCTTGTGGTTGCTGGAAAGGAGAATGTGTTCTTAAGCCCCAGGAATTTGCGAGAGCGCTGTCTCTTTAAATATCCAACATAGTCTAGCTGCTTTTAAACCTTCAAAATGGTGGCTCTCTCCAGACTGGCAAAAGTCCACAGCTCAGCTCGCCTTTCTCTTCACCTTCTCAGTTTATTCCCCAGCCACCATGCATAGTCCTCCGTGCAGTCCCTCGCTAGCAGGGCTGATTTTTTAGGTCCTGCCACCACTCGGGAATCTCCAAGCTGTCTGTGCCGTCAGGATTGCTCTGGATTGCTGTCAGACTGCAGCTCCATATGTCTCTTTTTCTGGTATTTTCACGGAAATTCTTCTGCTGGTTGGGATTAGTCCACTTCTATATCCTTCCCTTCAAGGCTCAGGGGTCCAAGATTATCTTCTGTGTCTGTGTTAATTGGTTTCCCTTTTCTTTGTTGA